GGATTTTAATAATATTTTAACTGCGTTGGATAAAAATGGACCCCTTTTTCCGGATGGGTCAAGAAAAGTTCTGGTAAAGCTTTTAAAGGATTTTAATTTATATGATATTTATCGATACCTGTATCCTTGTGACCCTGGGTATACATGGAAAGGTCGTAATGTCCAGGAGAGACTTGATAGGGTGTATACTCAAATAGAAACAGGGAAAGTGATAGATATAATTAAATATAAGGTTTATAGTAATAATAGGAGTATATCTGATCATAAAATGATCAATGTAGAAATAGAATTGAATACTGAACCTATTTTGAGAAAAAGTGTTATGATTAATAAAGACATTCTTGAGGATTCTCAATTCCAAGACAAGGTAAAAGAATTAGTAGAAAATAATAAAAATACAATAGATTGGAAAAGTTGGGAAGAGATAAAGAAAAATTTAGATCTAAAAGTTAATGAAACATGGAAAAGAATAAAAAGAAAGAAATTTCTTTCTTTGTAATTGCTTAATTATATTAAGCAATTACAAAGAAAGTTATCACGATTAATTATAGGAAACATAAATGGTAAAAATAAGGATGAAATTGATAAAATAGAAAAAGAAATTGAAAGAGAATATGAAATGAAACAAAATGAGAATTATGTTAGATATAAATTAAAAAAGCTATGTCTTGGACGAGAGAACGAGAGGAATGTCTTTGAAAAGAAAATAAAAATTAAAGAGAAAGTAGGTGTGAAACAAATAGATGATAATGGTAGTATTATACTTGATAAAAACAAAATTGTTGATAAATTCTATGAATATTATACTTACCTGTTTAGTAAAAAGACCCCAAATGATGATATATGGGGGAAATTTGAGAATTATATAACACCAATTAAAGAAAATAATAATGAAATATTAAGCAAAGAGATCACTAGGGATGAAATATTATCTGCTATGGAAGAGGTACATATACGTAAGGCCCCTGGAGTTGATAGCCTCCCAGGAGAATTTTATAGGTTTTTTAATCTTTATTTGAGTGAGATATTGTACAAGTTATATAATAAGGATATTTTTGGTAATAAGTTTAGCATGGGTCAGATGGTATTCATCCCTAAAAAGGATACCGGTATGGGGAGTGTTAAAGATTTTAGGCCCCTTACCTTGTTAAATCTTGATTACAAGATTTATGGAATTATTATTAGTAAGAGATTAAGTGAGTTATTTAACATTGAGATAGCGAACACTCAGAGTGCGGGAGTAAAAGGGCGAAAGATACAGGATAACATGATGATGTTAAAATTGATTAGTGAAATTTATGAATATAGAAACAGTCCATTATCCATACTATCGGTCGATTTTGAGAAAGCGTTTGATACGGTTGATAGAATGATATTATGGAGGATAATGGAAAAATATGGATTTAATAATAATGAAATAAATATGGTAAGAAAATTATACAACACCCCGGAGACGATAATACAAATAGGAAATTATAGATCAAATAGTATAAATTGCGAACAAGGAGTTCGTCAAGGATGTCCATGTAGTATGATACTTTTTACAATTTATATAAATGCTTTGCTGAAAAGAATAGATGGGGAAAAGTTGATTGACCCCATCTATATTCCAGGGATGAGAGAAAAAGTGAAGTATGTTAGTCACGCTGATGACGTGAACTTTTTTATTGTTAATAGTGTTTCAATGGCAAAAACCTTTGAAATTGTAGGAAAATTTTGTAGAATGACAGGAATGGGAATAAATATCAACAAAAGCAAAATCTATGATGTGGTAGGTAAAATTAATAGTAATTTGGACATAAAAAGAGTTGATAATTTAAAGGTCTTCGGGGTGTGGTATGGTGTTGATAGTAAAATGAAAAATAGAGATTTAATCATTGAAAATATTGAAAGTGCAATCAATGATTGGAATCTAATATGGTTATACTTACCTGAAAGAGCTGTTATAGTGAATAAGGTGTTATTTGCAAGAGCAATGTATATCCTGTATAATACAAATTTAAATAATGAGGATATAAAATTAATTGAGAAACCTATATATAGGTATTTATGGGATAAAACATTTGAACTGATTAGTCGGAAGATAATGAGGAATAAAATATTTAATGGAGGATGGCAAATTTGGGAAATTAAGTCACTTGAGTGTTCGCTGCAGTTGTCTATAATGTTTAATGTGTTTAAAAATGAAAATCACCCATTGCATTATATTATTAAGTATATCTTAGGACCTGTTGCCAATAGGATTGTAGAAAGTACAGAAAATTTTCCCTTCTTGGTCAATAATAATAAAAAATATAAAAAATGGCGTAGATATTTCAAAGAAATATTGGATATGAATAATAATAATATTTTTATTAATGGCAAGGTTAAGCCAGGGTGGTTGTATAGTTTTATACACAAGCAGTATATGAGTGAAGGGATGATTGAGAGTAATAGAAATTGGGATGATACTTGGAATAATGTGGTTGTTTTACCACCGGAGTGGAGAGAGACCACCTGGAGGATCCTGCAGAATGTAATTTATACAAAACAATATATGATAACTTATCATTGGGGAAGAGATGCTAAGTGTTCGTACTGTAAGGAAACTGAAACAATTGTGCATCTGTTTTTTATGTGCCCCATTGCAAAGTCTGTATGGGGATGGTTGGCTAATATTTGGAAAACTATAATTGATTGGGAGAAAATAAAATATCAAACTGGCTATAAAATTCGTGGTAAAAGTACTTACATGATTAATTGGATGATAGCTCTTGTAAAGAGATGGTTGTGGAAGGCACGATGTCAGCTGATGTATGATAGAAGACGGATAAATGCAACCTATGTAATAATAAAAATAAAAGAAGATGCAAAATATAAATTGAAAAGTGACATGGAAAAATTAAATAATACAGAAAAATATAAATATTATAGAGGTACTGAGAACAGTATATGGAAATTTGATAATGGATTTTATATGTTTAATGATGAATGGGGAAGGTGATGTGAGAAGTGATATTGTTTTAGATTTAACAATGGATTAATTAACTAACTTTTTGTGTGGATATTGTTACCTTTAATTGTTTATATTGTTTTTCTCTTTTTGATGTATTATTAGTGTGATTTGTAGTTGTTAAGGATTTCTTAGTTTTTAAAGTTATATTATTGTCGGTTGCACCCTTGTCCCTTTGCATAGGGTTTTTATAAGGGTGTACTAATTTTACATTAGTTTTAAGTTTTTGGTTAGACTCCTGTATTGAGTGGGAGTTTGTAAAATTTATTAGTATAGTTTTATGTAATTAGGCTACTACACCTATTGCCTCTATGTGAGGTAGTTGAAAGGGTGTAGTTTGCTAGTTCTTTTTGTTATATAGAGTGTTTACTTTAATGGTTTATATTTATATGTATGATAAAGTGTTAGTGTTGAGATGATGTTATATCTTTCAAGAGTTTTTTATTTTTTTGGTAAGCACTATTACTCTCTGGTACTGAGTAGCAGGGAAGTATAATGGTGCTGTTTAAATGTTTTTGTTAATTAGGCATGGGTATTGGGCTTATCTTAATGATTATACTACATAATGTGGTATAGCTATAGCCCATTAATATATAAGGGTTGAGCGATGGAAAAATTTTGTTCTTATTGATTATTTATGGTATGATTTTGCTATAATGTGTCTCCGGCTTCTGGGAAGGGATCTTTAGTTATTCCTTTTGATAGAAGGCTGGGGATTTTAAATGTTTTTTTGGTTATATTTTATAATTGTTTTTGAAATGTTTTGGGGTTTTAAAATTATGTTATATTAACAATATTGATATTGACATTAACATATTTACATTATAAAGATATCTGAAGTTGATGTGGTTGTAGTTTACACTGGTTGGGCACATTAGGAACAAAATGCCGGAGACGCAATCAGGAAAATTCCCAAACTTTAACACATCGCAGTATCTGTTCTTATTCTTGGTATTTTCTCCTTGTTAGCGACATTTTCTCTTTCCTAGAAACCTTCTCACTTCCGTTAGCAACCGGCCTGCACAGTTGAGACACATTGTGTATTCGCTGGTTGACTAACAACACTGTTCTATCTAAGGGTGTGCAGCTTGCTGCACCCCTCTTGCTCCCCCCCCCCGTTTCTTTTTTTTTTTTTTCCCCTTTCTTTCTTTTCCTTCTCCTCCTTACTTTTTGATCTTAGCCAGCCGCCACCCTTACGTCCGGCCGTTCTCACGGCAAGTTCTTTTGGATTACCTTTGCTTGGTTTCTGTGCAGTGTGCTTCTTCTAACTAGTGGTGATTGTACACCCCGAGGTTCATCGACGTTTGAAAGTGTGTGTGTGTATTCGTGTGTAAAGTGTCCACCAGGAATACGATGGATACACCCAGCACGTCCAGGACCTACGCACATGCGACATCGGCTCCCCTCGTGGTCCACCTTTCCAACAGGCAAGAAGAAGTCTTCACTGAAGTAGACAATTCGACGCCATCTAGCCCCTCCCGCCCGTCTTCACCGCAAGTTGCAACTATAGACGATGAAATAGAGCAACATAATGTGGAAACCATGGGACATGAAGACGAACTGATGGACAAAAAAAAAAAAGCATTACACCACCAATAGATCGATAAGGATCTCTACCAGTGGAAAAGTCCAAGTAGAAGAAATCATCACAGAATGTGAGAAAATAATAGGACAAATAGGTGAAGTAGAACAAGTCTGCTTTAAACCGAATAATATCATCGAGATAGGATTAACTACTGCTGACGCCAAAGAAAAACTCATAGGGCACAGTATAAAGGTAGGCAGTTCCTTTGTTACGTGTGAAAGCCTTGATGAGGACCTCCTGATGGTCACTGTTAGGTATGTACCTAACGAGGCCGATAGGGAGGTTGTCAAGGGTGTTTTATCGGAATTTGGGAAGGTTAGCAAGGTGCTAGTTAACACAATCACAATTAATGACAGGAAATTCAAGACGGGAACATATAGAGTCCTAATTAAGACCAGAAAACTACTCCCGAACTATGTTAACATGTTAGGTAGTAAAGTAGAACTTCAATACAGTGGTAGAAAAAAGCAGTGTTGGCGCTGCGGGAGTTTGACCCACGAAATTAAAGAATGTAACCAAAAACTTTGCCACAGATGTAAAAGTCCTCACCATCTGGTGAGAGACTGCCCATGCTGCTACAGCTGCTACAAAATACACGAAGCCGACGAACAATGCCCCGAACAAACCCTCAACGAGATATATAGAATGGGAGGGAGGAACAAAAATAAAGAAAAAAAACGCGAAAAAAGCTTAGAAAGATTAACAAAAAAAAAGGATATAGAAACAGAACAAGATAAAATAATAGAAGATAAGATAGAGAACAATGATAACAACACGAAAGAAAATAACAATAATAATGAAATAAATAAAGAGTATAAGAGTCAATATATAATAGGTCAAGATACCAATGAACAAACAGATGCGACAAACACAAACACAAAACTAGACAATAAGGAAAATAGAACCAACGATAAAGAAAAAAGTATAGAGGAGAGATTAGAAGAGCAAATGAATGAGACAGTTGTCAGGGAAAAAATTTTAGCTATAAGTCTAGACGCAAGCCTTACAAAAGACGAGCTTCTAGAGGAGGTAGAAAATATAATAAAAACGACAGACAAAAAGAAAGTAAGGAAAAGCAAAAGAAAAGCGGTACAAAACAATAATTAACATTCAAGTCCAACACCCTTAATATAAAATCCCTTAACATTTCAGGGATGAGAGAAGAAGCAAAGAAAATCTACTTATTAAATCTTACTTTAAATGATAATATCGACATCTTGATGCTTCAAGACACTAACCTCTACGATTTCACCGATCTTAGAAAACTGCGTAAAATCTTCACTCAGTATAACATATACATCTCCTTCGCTCCCAGAAGGGGATCGGGTGTTGTTACTATGATCCGCAATCATATCAATATTAATGATTTTAGAACAGACACTAACGGTAGACTGATCACTGTTGATATTAATTATAATAATAAGCTAATCAGAATTGTTAATATCTATGCCCCACCACAGCTAGATGAACGTAAAACTCTTTTCAACAATCTCCCCAACTTTTTAATTGGAAGAAGAGAAATAACCATCGGAGGTGATTTTAATTGTATCCTAAGTCAGAAAGACAAAAACACAAGCATGTACCCAGACGGCTCCCGAAGTTTGCTCACTGACATCATTGACAGTCATGCGCTGAAAGACGCTTTCCGCACCCTTCATCCCCAGGCCGAAGAATACACATGGGAGGGCAATGGGGTAAAGGAAAGGCTTGATAGATTTTATATCAGCGCGAATGTTGGAAAACTCATCAACTATAGTTCAAACTATCTGTTAAACAACGATAAAAAGTTCACCGATCACAAAATCATTAATATTACTTTTAGCAGTAGTAACATCAAAAGAAAAGTAAATAATATTAAAATCAATAACACCATTCTCTCCGACAAAACATACCAGATAGAAATCAAAGCAATCCTTGATAAAATAAAAGATGACGTCAATTGGAATAATTGGAAAGATACAAAAGATAAAATAAAAGTAATAACTAACCAAACCTGGTTATGCATTAAAAAAAGTAACTTCAACAGAATGAAACAATTACAGAGACAACTCAGCTACCACATAACTAACAATAGATATGATAAAATAGAACAAACCAGTAATGAGATCAGCAACGAAATCGAGAACAAAATAAGAGAAACATACACAAGCTATAAGATGAACAAATTAGGAATTGAGAGACACACAGAAAAGATAATTTTTAAGAAAAAACCTATAACAAAAGACCCGGATATGATCAACAACTTAATTATCAATGGTATACAAACAAATAACGCAGAAAAAATCATCCAAGAATTTCAAGAGTTCTATAAAAAACTTTACCAAAAGAAAACCACAAGATGGGATCAAATAGATGAAATCACAAAACCAATTAAACCAGTTAAAGATATAAAAGAAAACATTATCAATAAATTAATCACTAAAGAAGAAATAGACAAGGCAATTGATGAGCTGCACGTAAGAAGAGCTCCTGGTATTGATGAAATACCTGCTGAGCTATATCGCTTCTTTAAAGACGACATGTCCGATATCCTACATAAATTATACAACGATAATACCGAAAATGAAGACTTCTGCAAAGGCCGGATGAAACTCATAAACAAAACTAATAAAAACATTGGTCAAGCTACTGATTACAGACCCATCACACTGCTCAATGTCGACTACAAAATCTACAGTTCTATCATTGCCACAAGGCTCGAGAAGTTGCTCCACAACCATATAAGTCCAACACAAACAGCTGGTATTAGAGAAAGAGCCATACAGGACAACACGATGTTCCTAAATCTAATACAGGAGACCTACAAAAGAAGAAAACTACCCCTCTCGATTCTCACAGTTGATGTCGAAAAGGCCTTCGACACTGTGAATCGAGAGGTACTATGGAAAATACTAAATCACATGGGTTTTAATGAGGAAGAGATCATGAAAATTAAATACATATACAATAATCCCGTTACCAAAATTACTATCAACCAGAAGGAATCAGAATATATTAACTGCGAAGCTGGGGTAAGGCAGGGATGCCCCTGCTCAATGATTCTTTTTACTATCTACATTGAAACACTGTTAAACATGATAAACGAAGATATATTAATCCCTCCAATCCACATCCCAGGTATGGAAAGAAGAATAAAATATGTCGCACATGCCGATGATGTCAATTTCTTCATAAATGACAACGTATCTCTCCATAGGATGACAACCATATTAAATAACTACTGCAACATAACGGGAATGAGAATAAATACAAATAAAAGCATCATCATCAGGATCTACGGCCATAACAACCTAGAAAGCTCTACCTTTAAAATAGTTAACAACAAAAAGATCCTTGGGATATGGTATGGCACTAATAAAAATATCAAAAACTTAGAGACAATGCAAAAAAAGATTAAAAATGCAATAGACAAATGGGAGAAAGTATGGCTCTACCTGCCTGAACGCACGATAATTGCCAACAAGGTTCTGGTTGCTAAGATCATGTACACACTATACACGACCGATCTAACAAAAAAAGAGGCAAATAAGATAGAAAAACCAATTTTCAAATACCTATGGCAAAAAAACTTTGAGCCCCTCAAAAGGAATATAATTAAAAATGATATTGAGAAGGGAGGATGGAGAGTATGGGATGTATGTCTACTAGAGAAGTCTCTGCAACTATCCAACTTAATCAACTCAATCATTAAAAATCAACATCCTCTAGCTGATCTGGCAAAATACATCATAGGACCTTTAACTAAACAGTTCACGAACGATTCATCTAACAAACCCTTCTTAATAGACAACAACAAAACCGCATGTAATTGGAGGTACATGATTAAAAGTCTACTAGATGCAAACATTAATCTTAAAGACATCAAACCTGGAACAATCTATAGGAATAATCATATCAATGCTCCTAACCCCAACCTCAACAACACCAATGTTAACTGGAGTGAGTGCTGGTCAAATGTGGGCAAACTCCCTGCAGAGTGGAAGGAGACGACATGGAGGTTAATTAACAATATTACCATGACCAAGGATTATTTACACAAATACAACATGCTAAGAAACGCCAAGTGTCCACGATGTGATAGGGATGAAACCACCTTTCATTTGTTCTACGAATGCTCAACACCTAAGAAAATATGGACCTGGATGAGAAATATTTTCAATATCGATATTGGCTGGCACCAAATTCTTTACCATGCTGACTTCCCAAACACTACCTATAACATTTACTGCCTAAACTGGGTAATTGCCCTCACTAAAAGAACAATATGGAAGGCAAGATGCGCCCTCCATTTTGAAAATAAAAAATGGAACGCTGAGATCTGCATAAAAAAGATTAGAGATGAGATTAACTACAAACTCCAAATTGATAATGCTCTTCTAAATAAAAAGGACTTTCACACGCTCTATCAGGGCACTATTAATGTTATATGGAAACATGAAAATAACAGTTATGTATTAAACGACATGTAAACCAATCGCGACTTCTATATGTAAAACCATATATGATTGTCGGTATTATTGTCAGATGTAAAACAATATTATTATTACCATTGTCAGGTGGCTTATCCACCCCTTTCTTAATATTTGTTCTCTATTAAGCATGTACTATCGGATAAAGTTAATGTATATTCTACAAGCATAATGATTACTACGGGCTACAATATCCTCTCTGGACTTGTATATATAATTATCTCCTGGATATTGTAGTACACCTGTTCTGTAAACCAATCAATGTAAATGCTTACTCAACATCAGACTACTGGTGTTTCCTGTATAATTAATTGAATCTAATAAACTTTAATTAAAAGTATCCTGACTGGTATTCGTAAATATTTTTCAGCTTTACGCCTATTTTTCTTTCCTGCATTCTTCTTACTTCTGTTGAAGGTTGGCCTGCACAGTTGAAAGACACTGTATTCGCTGACCTCTCGACAAGTCTTTACTATCAAGGGGCAAGTAGCTCACTACCCCCCTTACGTTTTTATTCCCCCCTTCATTTTTTCCCCCCTCTCTTCTTCCTCTCTATCTTTCTCTTCGCTACACATTTGATCTGGTCGCGGCTCTTGTTGCGCCGTGCTGTCGAGTTATAGTAACTACTTGTTTTTGGTGCCTCGCTTTGGATACCCGTAGTTATTTAGTGTGTGTGTGTGTGTGTGCCGCCGCATCTCGTCTCCTAGCTGCCTATGTCGGCGCCTCATCTCGTGAGGATCTCTATGGATACACAACCACCTTCAACAAGCTATGCCCAGGCCACCATGGGGATGGGCAGTGACCTACCTCCCCAGGATGATGCCCTGTTCGAGGAGCCACTTGATGAGGACGTGCATGTGGACAATCCCATCAACTGCTCCAGCCAAGAAGACTCCGTACAAGTGGATGTATCAACTGCTTCACCATTTTTTTTTTTCTTTTTTTTTCTTTTTTTTTACCATTTAGAAAGACTGGGCCGAGCTTAAAGCATAGCCTCTAGAAGAGAAGGGAGATAGAATTAGAGTTAAGGGAGGGGGTAGGGAAGGTTGGTGAAAGAGGGAAGAAGGTAGATAGGAAGGGTGGGATCTCATGGACTTGCATCGGCCGTTTATTAGAAGGATAACAATAATTACATGATTTAGTAACAGGTTACAGTAATTTAGAACAGGAATATCCCGACAATAAATTTACGGATTACGATGTATATACAGATGGGGCCGAACAGTGTGTACAGAGGAATGGCGGCCCTTATATAGGAGCTGGGGGGAGCGAAAATTCCCAGAGGGAAATTAGCTCAACACCCGAATTTTACTGTTGAAGTCCTTGAAGGCCTTGTAGATATTATGGTTTTTAATTAGAGTGTCCAAGGGACAAGGCCAGACCGTGCTCTCAGAGATTACCGTAGCAATGAGATTACTGCGTTCCCTGTCGTACTGCGGACAATGGAAGAGGACATGCTCACTATCTTCCCAGTAGTCCAAGCAAGCGTTGCAATAGCCGTCCCCTTTTTTTAAGAACCTCGCCAGGTACCCCTTAAGGTTACCATGGCCGGTAATAATTTGTGTAGTCTCATAGTCCGGGGAGAAGTGAGAAAGGGCTTTCCTCTCGTTGACCGAAGGAAAGAAACGGTGCACCAAC